GGAGGGGTAAGTCAGCCCCAGGGGAGGTGCGCGCGGGAGGCAGGCCGCCCTGGGGCGTGCAGGCGTGTGTGTGTGTGTGTGTGTGTGTGTGTGTGTGTCAGCCCCAGGGGATTTGGGAGAGCCTCCTTTCTCCTAATAGAGTGCTCATTAAACAGAACTTTGCCTGTTGATATTCCAGAGATTTGGGGGAACTGTGCATTTATTGGGGGTGGGGGGGAATCCTGGGAGGAGGCAGATGCAGGGGACTCTCTGCCTCCATTGGCACCCCACTCCCTGCTCCCCAGCTCCCAAACGCTGTCCCCACTCTCCTGTCTCCAGTCACAGAAATCTGTCCCCACTGGCACCCTATCCCCAGCTGCAGAACCCTGTCCTCTGCCCCCTTCGCACCCTGTTCCCTTTCCCGTGGCCCCAGCCGCAGAACTGTCCCCACAAAATGTATAATTATAAATGCTTCATTTTAGATTTAAATAGCATGAATAACAGACCATTTATTTCATAACTATAAACATGTGATTTTAATTTTATATATTGCATAATTTAAAAATAAACTGTTTATCAGAGTGTGTAAGTAAGGGCTGGGGATAGCAAGTGAAGGACAGGAGGAGAATAGAGAGGGCGAGGCTTCAAGGAAGGGGGAAAGTGCTAAGGCAGCTACCTGCCTGTCCTGGCAATGCAGACTGCGCAGCAGGCCTGGTTCCTAGAAGGAGGTGAGGAAAGAGCACACAAGGCTCCGTGCATTGCCCCTGCCCTGAGCAGAGCTCCACACACTTCCATTGGCTAGGAACCTGCTGCTGGCTGCTTCTGGTTTTGCAGACCATGCTGTGCCCTAGAACAGGCAGGAAGCCTGCTTTTGCACTCCTGCTGCGCTGCTGACTGGGAGCTACTCAAGGTAAGTCCCCTCCTGCCCCAGCCCTGACCCTCTCCCGCCCCCCAAAGCTGGAGCCCCCTCCTACACCCAAGAGCTCTCATCCTCAGCCCCAGCCTGGAGACCACAAATTATGTTGGGTCATGAACATCAACAATTTTCTTCAACTGGATCATGAGAAAAAAAAAAGTTTGAAAACGGCTGCACTACAGTACTCCTGTGAGGTGAGCTGAAAAATACTACTTCTAAAACTCCAAATATTTGCTATAAAAATAATATGAAGTGAGTAGTGTATGCTTTCTATTCTGTTGTAACTGAAAGCTAACTTTAAATTGGTATTCTATTTAGCAGCACAATTAAAACTGACTAACTCTATAAACGTTGTAATTTGTTTAGAGTTAATGCCTTGAAATTAATGGTGATTAATTGACTGCTCCATTTTAAATAGTTTAAACTCCAAGATTTTTTTTTCCCTAAGACAATGGAAATTAGGGGTTAATGTGTTTACCAAGGCCTTGCTTGATAGATTGAAAATAGATATAGGTAAAGGGATTTTTAGGTCTCATGTAAATGATATATGTATAGGCATGCTTTACTCTAGAAATCAACAGACTTCAATAAAATTGTTGTGTTAAACTATATATCCAACTTCAGATGTATCAAATATTATGTAAACATTCTGATAAATCATCTGAAGTTGGGTATATAGTTTATCAAATATTATGTAAACATTCTGATAAATAGGCTTTATCAGTGTAAATTATGCAACGTGAATCCAGAACAATTTCTTTAGAGCTGCTCTGGATTAACAGTGGCAAACTGATATTCAATCTGGTCCCAGGCTAGCTACTAAAAGGTTTGCTTTCATGTATCTAACTTTAGACACAAGAAGCTATACAGCCATGTTAAAGTGCCTCTGTGGCATCCCTAATTTGGTATACTGCTGTATAGACAACACCAGACTCTCCACGGGCTTGTTCAGGCACTTTCACCCATGCAAAGTATAAACTCCTATTCTTCCAGTAGCATTTTATACTTACCCTGCGTGTGCTTTGCTCAGTCACCAAGTTAAACCTGTGCCAAGTGCAAGGCACTGGAGACATGTGGTCCATGATGCCTGGGCCCAGTAAAGCATCAGAGTGATTTTTGTATAGTAAGTCCAACCTGGCAAACTGACTCAGACCTTGAGCTTCATTGCCTTGATGTAAAACTGCGAGCAACTCCACTGAAGTTAATGGAGGAAAGTTAGATCAAAGTCTGGTCCCTTTGCTTTAAAATTATTCTATTCAGATACCCCCTGCAAGGAGAGAGAGCATCACTTGTAATGTTGCTGACTCTCCTCTTTAGAGAGACCCAAAGAGGAGTGGGGGAGACAGCACGCTGTCCCTTCAAGGGATTGGTGCTCACCGGCCCTAAGGTATGTTCCATCAGGCACAGCAGCAGCTGCCAGCAGTTCTGTGTCTCCCATGTTGAGCTGAGCTCTGTCCTCAAGTCCCTGCTCTGCAGAGGGTTCATGGAGGGCAGCAGGGGACACCTGCCTGTCTCCAAGGCAGCAAGGGGGAGCAGGAGCCAGCTTAAAAGCCGGTTCCTCTCTGCAGGGGGACAGAGGAGGCAGAGGCACAGCGGCGGAAAAGGCACGAAGGGCTCAAGCAGTCCCCACTTGCGCCGGGTCCAACTGCTGCATCTCTGCCTTTTAAATGTAGAGAGAGCCCTGTCATGGCTCCTTCCCCACTCTGGCATGATAAATGCAGAAGTGGGGGCCAGCAGGTGTACCCCAAAGCCTTATCTACCAGGCTTTGGTATAAAACTTTCCCCAAGATCTTAAAACCCTAGATCTTGGGAATAAAACTTCCGCTGCCACCACCCAAATGTTGATAAAGAAATTAGGGGAAAGATCATTTGGAAAATCTTACCCCTAAAATAAAAATCAAGGCACACAATTAACCACTGCTAGGTTAATAAAAAAAAAAAAAGAAAGAGCTTTTATTATTACAACAAAATTCGTGTTGCAAACATAATGACTAGATAGGGAGGTAAGAAAATATACTCATGGAAAAACTCCATGGGCCTAGAACTTAGTTACAAAAAAAAGCCAAAACATCTTTTAAACAGTGCCAGATCTCAGATCCCATACCCAATCCATAAAACAATAAAACCTAACAAAACTACCTAAACTTTACCCTACTTACAGAAATTGAAGAATGGTGTCTTGGAGAGAGAGAGACATGCTTGTCCCTCTCTGTAGCTGCAAAAAACTCTTCCTGAGAGACAAAAGGAGAAAGGAAAAAAACCCCAAATTCCTTTGTCCCAGTTTGAAAAGTCCCACCTACATTCTTATTGGTCACTCCACCTGGCTAGGTGTAGTTAACCCCTTAATCCCCAGGCTGCTGGCTAACCCTCATAATCATGACAAGCCCCACAGGGTCTTTTACTGCATTTAAAAGGCAGACGCGAAAGATAGCGAGAGCCCCCCTCCTTTAATTAGCTAATTGAATAATCAATGGAATTTCCATCAACTACTTGATTAGTTGATAATTGAAATCTAACATCCCTACTTGTGGGTATGACAGACCATTACACTTCACCCAGTCAGTCATAGGTGGAGCCCAATCACTTTAGCATTCCCAGCCTTCAGAGCCAAGGAGCTGTGAGCCCCAAGCATAGAGCAGGAGGGGACCAGGACCCTGGTGTCATGGGGAATTTATTGGGTAAGACCTTGGTGAACACAGCAGGTGCCTCATGCTGTAGACTCAACGGTGAAAGGTTCCTCCCTGCCATGCTGACCTACAGGGAAAATTCCTGCCTGCTGCCAAATCAGGTCACCAGTTGGACTGAACAAACCCCCTCCCCTCCAGCCAGCTACACCAGAGAAACGTCCGAGCAGGTTCTCTGGGGCTTCAGAGAAAAGCCAAGAACCCCCCTGGCCCTGCTGACAACTGTACCTCATTGAGTTGGGTGCCTCCGTTGCTAGGAGGATCTGGGCCTCCCAGGAAGCACCCGCACAAGCCTTGGCAGAATCTTGCCTGGCACTTGCTTAGCACGGCCCTCAGTCCCTTACCAACTCTCATGAGCCCCTTACAACTGCAATGTAGCAGAAGGCAGGCTCTGCTCCTCTCTGAGCCTGGGTGGCTGCCAGAGGCACTGAGGAGAGCGCTGTCTGTCTACATGGCACAGTGAGCATTCAATTCAGCATCTAAGTGGCTGGTTTTCGAAGAAGCTCCGTGTGCTGGGGCCTGAGGGCTTTGGAAAATCCAGCTCTGAGTGTGGGCTGGAGAGGGAGCCCTGGGGGCATCTGGCCCCTTTGGCAGATGACAGGCACAGAGGTGGAGAGAGGGGGCCTGCCAGCTCAGCTAGTGGATCCAGCCCTTAATCTCAGTGAGATACTGCAGCAGTTGGGTTTCCCTGGTTAGCCTAGGTCTGTATTATCACCCCCTGTTACGGGGCCTGGGTGCACCCAAGTCTCTAATCTCCCCCTATCAGAGTTCAATATGGTGTGGCAGGATCAGGGGATCCAGACCCTCCCTCTCCACCGGGCCCCAGCCCAGGGCCCTATTGGTGGTTCCCACTACTGGCTTGGCAGGGAATCCTTCCCAAAAATGCACAGAGCCCTCCGGGTCCCCTACTGCTCCCTGCCCTGGGCTACTTCCTACCCAATCAGTGACAGCTGATCCAGTGGCTGGTGCAGCAGCAGCATCTGGTGAGTTGGCAGCTGGTGGGGCAATGGCAGCTAGGATAGCTGCAAGCCATGGTCGGTGTGGAGGCTGGTGTTGGTGCAGTGGTTGGAGCTGTAGCTCTGGCTGTTCCTGTGGTCCAGCAGGCACCCCTTCCCCTTCAGGGGTCCACCCCAACTGAGCTGCTCCTCTGGCCTTTATACCAGCCCTGCAGTTGGAGCATGCCTGGGGGGGGGGGCCTTCTCAGCCTAGCAGGCCTGATTAGCCTCCCCTTGGCCAGTGTGGCCATCACACCCCTGCTTAATCTCCTGCTTTTCCATTACACCATGTGCCCGTGGGCACTGGCTGTCGGGAAAAAGGCAATTCGTAGGGCAGGGGAGGATCAGGTTAAAGATTGAAATGCCCAGGAGGGCAAGTTAGCGATTAAATGGATTAACTTTGATCAAAGCTTTCCCCTCATCCAGATACCTGTGCAGTCCTTGAGTTACACTCACCATGTCCGTGGCGGAGTTTGTGGCTGGCTGGATTTCAGGTAAGAATAAGAAGGATCCAATTCCCACCTTCCTAGGTGTCATCCAGACACCCTTCTGCTGCTGGGGGGTCAGGACCCTGCCATATCAGGGGCTGCACAGATGAGACAGGCCCTCCCTCCCTGGGTTACATGCTTCACAGACCCCCACCAACTGAGACTTGGGTCCCCATTGTGCCAGGCACTGCAGACACATAGGGAGACAGTTTTGTACCCCAAAGAATTTATAATCTAAATCAGGGGTTCTCAAACTGTGGGTCCAGACCCCAAAGTGGGTTGTGACCCCACTTTAATGGGATCGACAGGCAGTGTTCCCTCTTTTTTCCACCCCTGTGTGGAGTGCGACATCTCCTTCATATTGGTGCACATAAAATTCATATGATGGGAGTGGGGCCAAGGGGTTTGAGTGTGTGAGGGGAGCTCATACCTGGAGCAGAGGGTTGGGGTGAAGGCTATTGGGTAGGGCCAGAGATGAGGGGCTCAGGGCTGGGACAGAGTGTTGGGGTGCAAGGGCACTGGGACTGAGGGGTTTGGGGGACAGGAGGGGGCTCCAGGCTGGGGCTGAAGGATTCAGAATGCTGGAGGGGACTGCGGGTTGAAGTAGGGAGTTAGGGTATCCGAGGGGGTGAGGTCTCTGGGGTAGGCCCAGGGATATGGGGTTTGGGTTACAAGAGGAGGCTCCAGGTTTGGGGAGAGGCTCAGGGCTGGAGGTTGGGGTGCAGAAGGGAGTACAGGGTCTGGGCTGGGTGTGTGGCTTTGGGGTGGGGCCAGAGATGAGAGGTTTGGGGTTCAGGAAGTGGCTCCAGGTTGGGGGGGCTTAGAGTGGGGTGAGTGGTTTGGACTTGGGCTTACCTAGGTGCTCCTGGTCAGTGGTGCTAAGGCAGGCTGCCTGGTGCCTGTCTGTCCTGAGGCACCAAGCGACCAGCAGGTTTGGCACCTTGCGGGGGAGCATGAGGCTCCGTGGCTGGTGGAGCCCCATAGTTCCCCCACCTAGGAGCCAGACGTGCTGCACTGGCTACTGCCCCAACAGGGGAGAGTGGCCCCTCCCTGCTGGCCATGGCAGCTCTGTGCTGGGACTGGCTGGGAGAGGTGCTTCCGAGTCCCTGTGCGGGGCTCAATGGGAAGCTGCAAGGCCACTCAGCTTAGCACCAACTTAGTGGCCAGGGCTGGCGATAGATTTGCTGGGCCCAGGGCTGAGGCCAGAGCCCCACCACCCAGAGCCAAAGCCTGAGGGCTTCACCCTGGGGACCAGGGCTCAGGTTACAGCCCCCCTGCCTGGGGCCAAAACCCTTAGGCTTTAGCTTTGGACTCCTGCCAGGGGCAATAGGTCTTGGGGTTTGGCCTGGCCCCACAACTTGGGCCAGCAGGGCTCAGGAAGTCTCAGGCTGCCCCCACCCCCCGGGGTCATGTAGTAATTTTTGTTGTCAGAAGGGGGTTGAAGTGCGATGAAGTTTGAGAATCCAGATCTAAATTAATAGACAAAAGGAAATATTATTCTCCCCTTATAAAGGGGGAAACTGAGGCAGAGAAGTGACTTGCCCAAGATAGGCTGGGAGTCAGGTTCTCTGGATGCCTCCTTCCCCTATTTAGTGGCATTTTTAAAAGAGTGGAATTGAAGTTCAAGTTCAGTTTTCTTGTCAAGAAAGATTTGACAGTTCCCAATCGCTCATTGACAAGTGAGTTAAAAATAACCAAACACTGCCTGCCCCTGGGGGTCTGTGTGCATTTACAACATTGTGACATTTGCTGACAGCGTTGGGATCCCAAAGAAAACAGCGGGGTGTGTATGGGTGTGGGGGAGGGTCGGATTTGATGGGCCTGCTGCTGTAACTCTGGGTCCGTGCAGCACCTGGCTTCTGTGCTCATTCCAGGGAGGTCAGTGGGGGCTAATTCCCAACTGACTTGGTTTTCCTTTGGATGCAGGAGCTGTGGGGCTGGCCTTGGGGCACCCAGTGGACACAGTGAAGGTGAATATGAAGCAGATGCTGCTGTGGGAGTGGGAAGGGACAGGGCACCCTTATCTCTAATAGCCAGGATGAGGAGATAGCCAGCTCCCCAGCAGGGCCTCGCTCAGAGCTGTGCCCCACGCCTCAAAGAGCAAGCAATAGCTAATTTTTTAAACACAATTATTTCTTATTATGGTGGCCCTAACCAAGCTTGGGGGCCTCGTCTGCATAGACTCTTCCTGCCTGAGAGCCGGCTGCCCTGTTAGGCTGGGCACTACAGACCCCCCCCCCACGAGATCAGGGCCCTCCACCCTTTAAGGGAGGCTCTGCACAACACCCCACCCCCCATGCCAGGCACTGCACTGACCCATGTCCAGAGAGAATCCCTCCCCCTCACGAGTCCATAGTCCGATTAGACAAGGGCACAAAGGCACTTGCCCCATGTCCCTGGCAAAAGCAGAACGAGAACGTAGGAGTCCGGACTCCCAGCACCCCATGCTTTAACTCTCCTAGACACTTCTCTTCTGCCAGAGCTGTGAACAGAAGCTGGGAGTGCAAAGTCCCAGGCCACTGCTCCCCCGCCTCCCGCCCCCCATTGTCTAGAAAATGCCACCTCCAAGTGCCTCTCAGGAGGACTTTGGCTTTCGCATAAACGGCTGCTGTTAATACCTCCCTGCAAAGCCTGTCTCTGGTTCCAGGTGCGGCTGCAGACACAGTCTGGCTACCGGGGGATCCTGGACTGCGTGATGAGAACGTACCGCAACGAAACGGTTGGAGGAAGCACGTTTATTATTTGTATAACAACAGCGCCAAGAGACCCCTGCCCCGTGGCCGAAGCCAGCCTTATGCTGGGTGCCGCATCTCCACCCAACTGAGATCAGCCCCACCCCTGTACTGTATGATGGCGTGCCATGTGTGTTCATAGGCATCAGCAGGGGGGCTGTGCCCCAGTCACTCCCTCACCATGGCTCACTCCGAGCTCGGGCCCCATATCCCTAGCGCAGGGGTTGATCCCACCATGGGCGCTGGTTGAAAATTCAGCTGGGGAAGGCAGCCAAAACCCCGCCCCTTCCATCCAAAGCCACACCCCTTCTCTAAGACCATGCCCCTTCACAGCCTTCCCTTCCCAAATCCTGCCAAACCCCACCTCGGGGCTGGGGCTACTTCATGGCACAGCCCCAACCACCAGGGCTACCATGTGGCACAGCCCAGACCCCTCATGGGCAGCTGAATAATATAGGCAATTTTGGGAAAGCAATATCTTCCCTTGCCTATGTTACCTGCTGCCCATGGATCCCACCATGCTGCCCTTTTCCTTGCAGGTTCGAGGCTTCTTTAAGGGGATGAGTTTCCCACTGCTGAGTGTGGCTGTAGCCAACTCAGTGATATTCGGGGCCTACAGCAATGCCCTGTTGTACCTGACTGCCACCCACCACCGTGACCGCAGCACCAACCCCCCCAGCTACGCCCACATCCTCACTGCTGGCTGCTTCTCTGGCCTGATGCAGGTGAGGGACCACGCAGCTCGTGCAAAGGCAGGGCGAGGGGAGCAGAGCTCCTGGGTTCTAGCTTGGGGAGGGGAAGGGAGTCTGGTCCAGTGGTTAGAGCAGTGAGGGTTTGGGAGTCAGGAGGACTCCTGAGTTCTGGCCCAGCTCAGTGGGGTGTAAGGAGACTATAGCAAGTGGGCAGGGGCGGCAGGTTTGTATAATTTTTGGTGTTGCCCAGAATGGGTCTAGTTCCCCTCCCCCCCACCCTGTAAGCTGATATATATTTTATTAAATAATGTAAAAATGGACTGGAAACCGTAAGCATTTAACAGTTTCCCTTTATTACACAATATCACTATCATAAGAAAAAATTATTTAACTAAGAATATCAACATTATTAAACCATTGTGGATTCCATTGTGCATCAAATATATATTATATTATATTATATTTTGTTGTACCTGTTTTGATGAAGTGGGAATGTTCTGAATGTTCTCTCTGATGGACACGTGACCAGAAATAAAGTCTCCTCTCTAAGGGCTTTTCCCACCATCCTCCTACTAATAGGGATTAGTTTGGCCCCAACCAAACCCCGCTCATGCAACTATCCTGAAATTGCATTAACCCCACTGTGTGTGACATTAACTCGGGGGCGGAGAGGGGAAGTGTTCCAAGGGTTTCCTCCCATGAGCAGAATGAATTTTGTGTTGTGCACCAGTACGCAGAAATGCCAAGTGATTTAGACGTTCCTGGCCCATTGTCGTTCGCAAATAATTTTTCAGTCGGTGCAAGCAACTGAATGATTGCTCAGCGGTGCAGGTTGTAGTTGGAATCGTGTAGAATAATTTCAGGAGAATTGTAACTTCTGACAACATGTCACTCAAGCCTTCGTTTTGTTTTAGAAATTGCTTCACTTTGCTCACCGAATTAAGCTGGCAATTTCTCGATCTGCAAATATCACTCAACATTTCTAAATGAAGAAATAGCTTCGCCGTGTTAATGTCACCATGGAAAGCTTCACTTATTGGGACATGTCCTGTTTCAAGCCATTTGCTGCCTCAGTTATAAGCTTCTCCAATTTTACTGCGAATGTAAAGCTTTCTGTTGGAAACCTCTGTTCAATGGCAACTTTGCAAGCATCAATGATCCCAACATGTATTTGATGAAAATACTCTTTGGGGTCACTGAAGGTGTGAGGAAGGCTTCCATGGTTGAGCCATCTCGGTGGCTTGCGTTTTCTCGGGAGTGTAGGATCATCTAAATAAAGATTTCTTGCCTTCTCTACTGTTGTTTCCCAGAAGTGATTGTATGATGAGTCAGTGCGCATCTCACTCAACACCTCTTGCAACAGGCCAGCTTTCTTCATAATGCTTGCCAATGACATGTTTGGGCTTTGAATTTTTGCATTAACTTCTTCTACAGGACCCATGGATTTCACAAGAACTGTTAGTCTGAAGTACGTTGAAAAAGATTGAAGTTGCTTTGAGAATCCACTACATTTTAAGTCAAATTCATCGGAAGACGAGGTAGCACATCCACATTCATGGAGCCTGCCTCGGACTAATATCGAAGCCTCCCTAATGTGAAGACACGCTAGTTTGATTTTGTTATTTCAGGAGTGATGATGTTGATTTTAGTTATTTCACAATGATTTTCCTTCTGTAGACATGCCCTGAGTTGTGGGCTGTTCTGGGGGCATAGGGGCTCCTCAATCTTTCCTATTGATGCTGCCCTATTCTGAATAGCTAATTAAACAGTCCTTCACACAGGAACTTGAGCTGTGGGTTCCAACACCTTATTTGTGCACCTAACCACAAGGTAACAGAGTCAAGTACATGCCCTTCCCATGGCTCAGTGTTCATCATCCTCCAGAGTAGTAATTCATGGTCATTCCTCAGCACTGTGTCTAAACATACATGCCCTCATTTTGGTTCACTCTTTTTATGTGGAGAAAGGGAAATACAGATTTTTTGGTGGTATTTACCCTAACTTTGTATTTCTTAGATTTCAGCAGTGCTCAATTATGCTGTTTTAAGTTCTCCATGAACTGACTGCTCTAGCTAACCCATGGAATAGAGAGCGACAAAGAGTCCTGTAGCACCTTATAGACTAACAGATGGATTGGAGCATAAGCTTTTGTGGGCAAAGACCCACTTTGTCAGATTCATAGGTCTTCATCAGATGAGGAGTAATGGTAGCTCGAATTAGGAGCTTTAATTCGAACTCCCTAGTCCAGGCCGCATGTAGCCGCGGGCAGGTAGTTCAAACTATGGGCATTTAAAATGGCGGCGCCTGGGAACATGCAAATGAAGCCCGGGATATTTAAATCCTGGGCTTCATTTGCAAGTTCGAATGCCTACATTAGCCGCCCTAGTTCAAACTAGGGTGACAGTGTAGACATACCCTTATAAACCTCTAACTTTTCCCTCTGCTGCCCTGTCTCCTCCCCTTGCTCCATAAGCTCCCCTGATGCCTGCTGCCCCCAACCCCTCACCCTCCTCTGCTGTCCTGACTCCTGCCCTTCTCACTGCCCTCAGCCTTCCTGAGACCTGCCCCCTGCACCAGCCCTTCTCTCCCCCCTGTGCCCACTACTCCAGTAACCCCACTCTGATCATGTGAGCTACCCCTCCTCATCCCCTCTCCTAACACCTCCCTCTACGCACCTGCCCTGTGTCTCTCCTCTGGTGCTGTTCCCTCCCCTGGTACTGGCCCCCGCTGCTGGGGCCACTGAGACCCGTCACAAGAGAGGCCCAGGGTGTTCTCCAGCTCGCTTGTGCAGGCTGCCCCAGAGGACCCAGGCTGGGGAAGAGCAAGGCCCTGGGTGCCCCGGGAAGGTTTATGGCAGAGGAGGAATTAGATTCCTGGCCAGACCTTGCCACATGTGGCCGAGCAGACCGACCTCAGGGAAGCGCAGCCAGGGGCTCTGGCCCCAGCTCCACCACTGACCGTGGGGAGAGGGCGAATGGCTCTGCCCTAGCGGCAAGACCCTGGGCCCCAGCACCGAGGGGGCAGCTCTTGGGTTCGGGGTCCTGGCTCCCTCCAGCCTCCCGTGTCCTCCGCCGGCCTCATGGAGACGTGCTCCTCCCCCTTTCTCAACTGTGCGGCCCTGGCTTTTGAAGTGCCCACGCAGCCACCAGAGCATTCATAGCAGCTCCATGGCTTGCTGGGCCGGCGTCTTCTTGCGGGTACGGGGGGACGGGCTTTTCCTGTCACACCCTTCCTCTGCCAGCAGCAGTCAGCCGGCCTTTTTGAAACATTAGGGTGTGCCTGGGCACACCCCATGTGCACGTCTATGGACACGGGCCCTTCCGTCTGCCAGTCCACCCCTTCATTAGGGTGTGCCTAATGGGCAAGGGAGAGCCATGTGCAGCTTTCATTCCGTCAGGGACACTCTGGGGCCGGGCCCCCGGCTTTGAATATTCCTGGAGCATGAGCACCACGAGCCCATATAACTACCCCCGGCTTTGAATATTCTTGGAGCATGGGCACCACGAGACCATATAACTCACCGCCTATGCAAGTGGGACAGGGAGTCAGGGCACTGGGTTTCTCCCCCCAGCCCCAGCCGTCATTTCATGTCAGTTTTTTCCATGAAGGGACTAATTGGGACTCATTTTTCCCTCCCTTTCACTCCTGCAATATCTCAGGCCGTGGTCCTGGCTCCTGTTGACCTGATCAAAGTTCGGCTACAGAACCAGACTCACCCCTATTGGCTGAGGAGTCCAGCGATGGGCCCTGGAGCCCACTACCGGGGCCCACTGCACTGTGGTGTCAGCATATTCCGCAAGGAGGGGGTGCTGGGCCTGTTCCGGGGCACCTGGGCCCTAGTGCTGCGAGATACACCCACCATGCCCATCTACTTCCTCACCTACGTCAGCCTATGCCAGGCTGTGACAGCGCAGGGGCGGGAACCTGGTGAGACGAGAATACAGTGTAGGGGGCTGCCCTCCCTCCCAAAGCAAGGGGAAGAGACTGCAGGGAACTGGGATTCCTGTAGTGGAAGGTGGGTGGTGCTTTTGTGGGTCCTGAACAATTAAGGAGGATCTTTTCATACAGTGCTGAAATGCAGCCACTTTGTGGGTGGAAACTAACAGGTGTGGAACATCCGTGCTGTAATTAACCACGACCAACGCACTGGGGGATGGCACTGACTGAGGAGAAATACCCCCTGCTGAGCCCCACATCTCCTGCGGCCAAGCCCCAACTCTCTTACCTTCCTTTTGCTCCCAGGGCCGATAACAGTTCTCGTGGCTGGCGGCTGCGCAGGCACAGCCTCCTGGGCCTTAGCCACGCCCATGGATGTGATCAAGGCCCGGCTGCAGATGGACGGCATGAAGGGTGTGTCCTATCGCGGGGTCTTGGATTGCATCCACACCAGCATTCGGCATGAGGGACCCCAGGTCTTTCTAAAGGGCCTGTCCCTGAACAGTATCCGTGCCTTCCCCGTTAATGCGGTGACTTTCCTGAGCTATGAGAACATCCTGAAACTCCTCTGCTGAGTCGCACACCTGCATCGCCTCCTGCTGAGGGGAAGTGCCTCCTGCTGAGCCCCCTGCAAGACAGCTGCCAAGCACGGCACTGGGGCCAGCACTGACTGCAAGTATGTCTACACTACAAAGTTAATTCGAACTAATAGCCGTTAGTTCAAATTAACTTTCATAGGGGCTACACATACAAATCGCTAGTTCGAATTTAAATCCAACTAGCGGAGAGCTTAATTTGAACTAGGAAAACCTCATTCTACGAGGACTAACGCCTAGTTTGAATTAAGTAGTTCGAATTAAGGGCTGTGTAGCCACTTAATTCGAACTAGTGGGAGGCTAGCCCT